GTCGCCCCGCCGGTGCTCCGGTGCCGGGAGGGGATAACGAGCGCAGTGCAGCCGCGCCGACGGGCTCCCCGGCACCTGCCGCGGGCCCCGTGCCCTGCAGGGGCATCTTCCTCTGGAAGGGCTGCTGGTAAACCCTCTGTGACTCCCCTTCGGGCTTTGCACAACCTCTGTGTGTGTCAAGAGTCCTGCTTTAATGATGTTTCCAGGTTTATTGGTTGCTTTGGGTTGGGTTTGGGGGGAAGGTGTTGGTAGGGTTTTCCTTTTTTTTTTGCTTTTTCTCTCAGTTTCTACTTTATCAGTAAAGGGCAAGTCATAATGGCAAGTTGCCATCTGTGCTCAAGCCCAGTGCGTAGCTAATGTAGTGGTTTTTTTCTCTATTGTGATTAAACAGGATCAACCTGTTGAAAAGAATAGTACTTCAATCTGCAGTGGAAATGGGGATTTAGTGTTGATAACTGTGTATCTCTAAGACGTTAGCAAGAGCAAAGTTGGGGCTGACTACTAGTGCAGAGTCCTGAGCTTCACTAAAGCAGGACAGCATCTTCTCTTCTGAAAGGAAAGACTGAGGTCTTACTGCAGCAGATAGAGGAGCCAGGTAAAGGATTTCTCTGGAGCTCAGGTAGGAGGGATTCAAGCAAGACAGAAATTGGAGGTACAGTCTGTGGGGTTTTTTTCCCCTGCTGTTATCTGATTCGTTGGTGATCAGTGAAGGATCATCCCATCATATCTGTTAGTATGTCTGTCTGCTTCTTGCCTTAACATGGCTTGTTTCATTCTTGGTAACGTTTTTTGTCTCATTCACCTGTTGCTATTGCTTGGGGCTGGGGGGAAGTGGAGGCACAAATGCCTTTCCTGGTTTGGCAGGAAAAAGAAAACTATCATGGTGTTGGTTTTGCACACTGGCCTAATTGCTAGGCAAGCTTTCTATCAGGAGCTCTAAGGAAAATGCTAATTGATAATGCTAATTGAAAATAGACTTATATTCAAGTCCACCTCAAATGTCCCTGCTAATGGTCTTGTAATTATATTCACTTAAGTCTCTTCTTAGACACATGGTCTAAAGCTTGCCCAGGGCATACAAATGTCTGACTTGAGGAATAAGGATAAAGGCTAGTCAAAACTTTCTCCTCTCTCTTGGTCACAGGAAGCTTTGGTTTAAACTAACGAAAAGGCTATTTTGTCATGGATAAGAGTGACTGATGGTTGTTTCCCCTGGTAGCATCAGAATACAGCATCTTGTCTAAATACGTGGGCTTTCACTTGCTGGTGGGATAGAAGTCATCACATCAACTACCTTCTCTGACTCGTGTGTAAAACTGGCCGTGGCTTCCCTCTGGGCTTGCCCTCCTCCTTGCCTCATCTCCCTCGTGACAGCTCAGGTTTAATGATGGTAACAGTGGCTACACCACGGACATGTGGTTGTTCAGTGTCATGCTGTTGTGTCTGAGGTTCTTTTCCCCTTAAGGTGATGCTTGAGGGAGGCTGTAAGACTGGTGTGGGTAGGGAATAGTATTTCCCCAGTGTACTGTTTTAGGGAATCTATTGGAGACGTCCCCCTGATCTCTGCTAGCCTGTGCAAAAGGAGCAATGTTGCTTTGAAGCTGTGTGCATGGGCATCCACTTAGCAGCAGACAGCAGGCCATGTAGTGTGAGTTTTATTTCCCCTTCTGCCGGCTTTCTGACTCCTCTGAGGATTTTTGTCAGGCTTCGTAGGCTTCTCACCCTCTTCCTAATCTGATTGACATAGGCCAACAGATTCAATGGCTGTTTTGTGGGGGAGGGAAAGGATGGTATTGGGGGAATCAGTGGTATTAGCCTTGTTTCTTAAAGCAGGCTAAAACCTGCACGTGCCATTGGCACCTGTTTCTGGGCCTTCCCCCCACCCTTCTTCCCCTGCTGAGCTTAGTGCAGTGAGCTTTTGCATGTAGCCAGTGCCCTTGTGGTAGCCGTAACTGTCTGTATGTAGTGATGTCCCCATGAAACTAAACCTAAAAGCACAACTGTAACTGATGCTGGAGGCTGTTGTATGAAGAATCAGTGGTAGGCAGTGAATTTCTGTAAACAAGAAGTCTTGGGAATGGATGCTGAACTAGGTACAGCCCTTTTCTTTAGTAACTATTTTCAGTCTTAATGTGGTTTTGCTGATTCTAAATATGAACATTTCTGCTAAAAAAGTGTATTAAAGAAGACCAAAACCTTCACGTCTAGAAGTGCAATGAGTAATGGCCTGTTACGGACTGTTATCAGCAAATATTCCTGCTTAAGTTCTTTATTTGGGGAAGGAGGAAGAGGTTGCTCTTCTTGCCTGTCAGAGGGCTACATACAAATGGCAAGGCTGCATGAGACCGAAGGTCTTGTCTAGCTCTTGTCATCTCGTAGTGGATGCTTAGGGAATAATGCAGGTGTAGAGCAGGTAAAGGTAACTATTTGCAGCATTCTTGAGTTTCTTTAACAAGACAAGCAGTCATCTGTAGGTGACTAGACACTTTTCAAATAAGTACTGCATAGATTACTTGGATAGTTGTGATCATGCTATATAATAAATAACATCTATTAAAGTCTAGAGCCCCAAATTCTCCCTTTCCTACAGGTTTGAAAAGTACCAGTTTGTGGTCTCCACCCAGTTGCTGACAGGGAAGGAGAGGTTGAACCACCTCCATGCTGCAGAGTTCCTCCCACATGTTCCTATATGTTGGAGAAACAGGTTTCACCAGATCCTATAAGACGCTGCAGTCTGGTTTCTAAGTAAGATGCTGTTTTGGTGTGGAGACAGGAGCTTGTCCTGATCCTGGAAGCCTTGGAACATAAAGTTGATCAGTTTGTAATGGGTAAATTGCAGAAGATCTCTAGAAGTAAGAATATTATAAAACAAACAAAAAAAACCCCAAAACCAAACAAAACAAACAAGCAAAAAAACCAAACCACTCCAGAAACATTTTGTGGGGTCTTATTTAGCTAGAGTGATGTTGGCAATGTGACAAAGGGCTTGTCCAAAATAAGGATATGCTGCTTCTACACTTGAGAGAGTTGCATGGTGCTTGATACCACTGCTTTGGCCAGTTCTGGTCTCCAAGGAAGAACGAAAGGGTAACTGAGTGAAAGAGAGGACTTTAAAACAACTTTCTATTTCATGTCTAGCTACTAAGCTAAAGAACTGATGATTTTCAGCCTCAGTGCCCATTTCTGGTATAAGAAATGAAAAAAGAGAAGGGATGGATGGCCAATTCTGAAGATAGAGCTGGACTTCATTCTAGATGCTGTGTGGTAAACTCTTGGCTGAAGAGCAGCATATTAAAGCACTCTTCCTGCTCCTGTGCTAGTATAAACTGAAGTGGGAGATGAAGGTAGGCTTTGAGTGTTAAGGTAACAGACTAGGTCTGAGTGTGACTTCATGAGCATATATAAAGGTGTTTTTGTAACATTCTTGTACTTCCTTATGTTTTAGAGTAACTTCAAATTTTTCTTTCCAGCCACCAAAGTTCTTGGCACAGTCAAGTGGTTCAATGTCAGAAATGGATATGGCTTTATCAACAGGTATGTTTAGATTATGATAGTCATATTTACACTGTACTAAGAGTCATGGTACAGATAATATGCCATGCTTTTAGTAATTGCAGTAGAGACCTGAGGACCTGGCTACAAGTTCATGCTGTTGATAGCCCAGTTTGGCCAGGCATTCAATCAGCTCTGCGTCAGGGAACCTCCCCTGCCATCAAAGGTTGTGTGCATGGTGGGAAAACAAAGGGTCAAACCCACTATGGATCTGGTCTGTTACTTGTTTCTCATGATTAATTGTACTACACCTTTAAAGACTCTATGTTTTTCATGACTGCCTGCCTTTTTTTAAAGGTGCAAGAAAAGTTGTAGGATGAGGGGAAATACTTTTCGGATAAAAATTTAAGTGTGAACTGATTGGTCAAGATACCTATTGTAAATACACGTTGAGATTCTCTAATACCATCTAACTGAAGATGTTCCATGCCTGGGTTCACAGAAATTGTCTTTTGGGTTTTTTTTCCTTCTCTGATCACAACCCAAACTCTGAATGGCATCAATAAATAGCTGTTAGTGATATTGATCACATTCCAGCCTTGAGTGCACAAGACCCATTCTTCCAAGTTACTGGAGGAAACTGGCTTTTAAGGCTGGAATATCTGTGGGGTTGAGAAGCTTTAAAATATATTGTATGCTTTATGAAAAATGAAGTTACTGTATGGGCAATGCATGTCTTGCAAAAGACATGCCTGGCAAGATATTTTATCCTGCAAGTCCTTGACCCTAACTACACAGCCGGTAGGTTTGGGTAAGTTGGACAGTGTAGAAGGGGGCAGAAGAGCCCGTTTCAGGGATTTGAAACCAGTTCTGGTACAGTATTAATGCCAGTCTCTGGAGACTACTCTCCAATGTTATGTAAGCTTAAAGAAAAGCTTGAATGACAAAATACTCTTGAATGACAAAATACTCTTGAGTCTTTCACAGCAGTTGATGTGAGAGCCTTCAGCTGGATATGGTGTAATAATTTATTAGCTTTCTTCCTAAACTTAAGTCTACTATTAGTTCAGTGCAACAAGTTTTGGATTATGTGTTAATTTAACAAACTCTTTGACCCTCTTGCTTCTGCTGCAGAGGAGTTGAGAGAACAAGTGGCAGGGTCTTTCTGTTTCATGGGAACACAGAATTGCAGTCTTAGACCTGTCTTCATGTTTTGCATGTAGAAGCTTAAACTGGCTGGCCTAATCCTGACAACCTCACATTCATGTCTGGGTCCCCCTTCAATGGACTCTCCTGGTATCTCTTGTGCATGGTTGCTTTGAGTTTCACTGAAAGGAGAGCTCTGTTGACAGCTGTGGCCAGTCCTGTTGGTAGTCTTGCTTGACCTCTGGGATAACAGCTCAGGTTGCAGCCCCTGTGGAAGTGTTTTTTTTGGGAGGGAGGAGGGTGGAATATAGTGAAAGGTGAGCAGTCCAGTCATTAACTCCATCCAGTGTCAAAACAAAATATTGAGTGCTTGCCAGAAGATTACAGAGAATCTCCCTGTCCCCTCACCCTTCTGAAGGCTGGGGAGTCCTTTCTGCTGTCAAGCATATATGACCCTGAAAATTCAGAGTAGGGTCTTGGTAGCATAGACTTCCACAGAACATATGGCATCCAGGGGATGTACTACAGGGTGGGGGAAGGAGGGCTTTACTTGTGAAGTCAGGGATTTCTATTTAAGTCTCTCAGTCTAAACTCTTATGACTTCTCACTTTCTGTTCACAGAAATGATACCAAAGAAGATGTATTCGTTCATCAGGTAAGACAGCAGTAATTGTACTCAGAGATGTGTGCTATGATAGGTTTCTAAGGCAACTTCCTGGAACAGCCACCCAACCTTGTCCTGACTTAGAATATTTACTTCAGGTACTTTGAATGGTACAAATGGAACATTTTGAAGTTTTCAGAGAGGAATATTAGGGTATGTTTCCTTCTCTCTGGAGTTAAAACTGAGAGTATGTATTACAACTCTTCATGTGTTTTGTCTGCTCTGATTTGAATGCTAGAGTGTTTGGGTCTGTGCTTGGTTTTTTGGAGGGTTTTTGTTTTGGTGTGGTTTTGTTTGATTGTCTCTCCTCTGGGGAAGATGATTCCTGTTTTGTGAGTGTGTTGTTACTTGTTCTGTGTTCCATCCCCATCCCTTCCCCTCCATTTCCTCGTGTTCCTTGTCTTCTGTTTCTTCTTACCCTCAGCAGGTCTGTTGCCTGCCCTCCGTGGTATTGGAGAGAAAGTGATCTAGTCTGGCTCCTGACCAGCCTGGGTTGCTGTCAGCTGTTGCTGCTTGAGGCAGCTGCTCTTAGGAAGAGGAGGAGGAAGGCTGTATGCCAAATGTGTCCAAGCAGAGGGAGGTTGCCCAGCAGCTTGTCATTGGTTAACTTCCCTTGAGCTGTCAGTAGGCTGTTCTAAGTTTATATTGTCACCTTGCAGGCAATTAGTGCAAAGACAGAGGATGCTGTCTTCATGCTGATGTAAACTGTCTAGTTGGCTTAGATCTTGTTTTGCATCATCTGAGACTTTTACTTCACCAGAACATGAAATGTTGCCCCTGGAGCTTGTCCCATATGAAATGGATGCAGGCCCATGTGATCCTTAAAAGCATGAGCTTTCTTTGTGGTGTATGTGGCAGTATTTCCATCAGATGTAACAGGAAACTTGTACTCAGAGTTGCTCACAAAGCATGAGGATATGTTTAGCACATATGCTGGTCAGCATTGAGAGTTAGTTTAGTTCCTGTGGGATCATGACTAAGTAGCCTGTGATAACTTTCTCTGGGTCAGGGACTGTATAATATATGTATTATCCAAACATGGGTGAAGCTGGAAGGGAATAAGTCTAGTGCCTGTAGTGAGTGAAGACAGTGTTGGAAAATACGTGCAAGTACATACTCCCAGTTCAGTTGATGGGCTCGGTATCAACAGTTGTCAGTGCACGTACTGACTTCTAATGGTCTCTTTCCTTCCTTGATGGCTGTGTGCATGGTGGTACTGCTGCTGCATCCGTGGCCTGATGGGAGCATGTCAAGAGGAGGGTGGAAAAAGTTCTAGTAACAGAAACACGTTATGGATAGGCAGCACTGTGAAACTACCTTCAAGACAAATGAGGTCTACTTCAGACCCATGAAAAGATATCCTGGAAAATGGCTGTTGTGCTGATGACGGAGGCAACATGGATCACTGATATTCTGCCTGCAAGGGCTGCCTGCAGAGACCCAAACAGTGAAGGTCAACAGCAGGCTAGTACTATCTGTGCTATTTTCTCCTTCATCTGTGGAAATTATCCACTTAAATGTAAACTGGTCTGCGTGGGGAAAGGAGGGATGATGACTTACTTCCCAATATCCTGTGGCTGAAATCCTCTTGGAGTGAGCACTGAGCAAAACTGGCTTGACATTTCAGAAATACCACATCATTTGCAAGCCTGCATCTGATTAACCCTCTTGGTGGGCTGTGTTTGGCAGAGTAGATGCTTCCAGCTCTGGCCTGGATTGGCTGCAATTGGATTCTCCTGAGCTCTTCCATCTCAAGCCATTCCTGTATGTGAACGCACTCATCACCAGAGCCTGGGCTTTTCTAGCCAGAGCTCCTGATCGTGGCTGTTTGCTTAGGCCATGGATTTGCCTCCCTCATCAAACATCCTGCTGCTTCGAGTTCCCTCTCCAGGGTTAGTGCTGGTTCTGCCCCTTCTCCCCACACCCATCCCGGGAGGGGCTGGATTATGTGCCTAATCCCTTCAGAATAAGGCTGACCTAGTTGAACAGATCCAGCCTCCTCCCTGCCTCCCCTACACACATCCGCAGTGGGAGAGAACAGACTGATCTCATGATTGGAATGGGGGGTTAACGCTCAGTGTCTGGCTATTGGATGCTATTTATAAACCTAGTACAGATTAAAATGCTTTTCTCTTTAGGGCATGCATGGCTTGCTTTGAATTAACCCTTTGTCTTGCAGGGGACCCAAGCAGTGTTTTGGGGAAGGGCAGTTCTTCACCTGCTCTGTCCTGCTTGCACCCTTGCCCGGTTGGGTTATGCAAGGTTCTGTGCCGGTCACTGTGTCAGTTAGAGGTGCTGTGAGCAATAGGGATCAATCTGCCTGGTGGGGGTGGCATGTGTCTAGGGAAGAGGAGGATCTTGCAGTTTAACACCCTGAAAAGTGTCAGTAGCCAGAGAAGTCCAACTTAATTAGGCATAGTTTGAATCAACAGGCAGTGAGGAGGGCTAATCTCTTCTGTTGCACAGGTCTTTTACTCACTGGATTGTATTTGTCATGCACAACAACCGGTGTAACAAATGTTGGTTATTGCTGTGGCAATGCTGGATGTGCACATGATGTGGTGATAGGAGGATATGGAAAGAACACTTCCAAGCAAAATACTGAACTAGCTCTGAAGACTCCTGTAGCTGTCTGTTCATCAGTGTTCCCTTGGGAAAGGAAAGGCTTTGTCTTAATCATTGAGTTCTGTCTGCGTTAACACAAAACATCTGTCTTTTGAGTCAAAGAACCAGGAGCCCGCAGGAAAAAGTAATGGGGAGAACAGGGCTCTCACCCCTCTGGATATACAGAGTAAAAGTCTTCTCATCGAGCTTGGGCTTATTAGAGGCTTATTTCCGCAGTGTTTACCTGCAGCTGAAGTAGTAAGTAGTAAAGCTATATAGTTTCTGTTCTGAAGTCTAGGATTTACTCAAAATTTGTTCTTGCTTGCCTTTATAAAGCAAACCCCAGTCCGCCGTGTGGTAGCCTCTAGCTGCAGTTGGCAGGTTATTCTATTGCAAATCTGAGTTTCTGAAGTTTCTATCCAGAAAGCTGGAATAGAACATGTGGAATCCTACTGAATTCATCTTCTGTTACCCTTCTTGGAGGATGTTTGAGGAGCTTCATTAGTCTTGAGTACACCCTATACTGAAAAGAAATCTGGTAGTCCTTTTTTTCCTCTGCACTTACAAGGAAGGGGAAGGAGTTTGAAATACAGCTTGTTGACATCTGTCATACGCAGAGCACAAGTCTTAAGAGTTTGAGCCAGTTTCTCTGTCCAAGTGGTAGTGAAAGAATAGAACCCTTACTCTGCAGTGAAGATCATCACTAGTAGTATGCAGTATTTATGGAAAAGCCATCAATTCCAACTGATTTTTAGACATGGGGCAGTTACACTCATAGGTCAGCGGAGAGCAAAGCAAGCTGTCTCAGCTGACAGTGGGAGTCTCTGCTTGCTGAAGTAATTCCTAAAAGAATTCACTTGAGCAGCTCATTCTCTTCTTGTATCAACACACCCTCACCTCCCTCCCAAACCAGCAATCTTATTCTTGCTTTGGTAGCAATACTATGTATGCTCCTGTGTTCTTCCTTAAGCCTTTCAGGGACACTGCAGGGTACAGGAGAAGGTAGGGCTGGAAGGATGTGCTGGCCTGTTGCCTGAAAGACAACGGGACAGCAACAATGGAATACTTTTCCTAAACTGGTCAAGCTCAACTTCAGACTGATTAGAACTTTTTTTCCTTCAGTGGGAAATATTTTGGGCTGTTGACTTACTGAATATAGTTGCCACGCACAGGCAGCAACTCAGCTGATCTTCATTCTGCCTGTTTTCCTTGAACTGCAGACAGATGTGACAATTCTTTTTGGCCCTGCATCCAGTTTCTTAGAAGAAATGTATTGCCGTGTGCTTCTAGCTACTGGATCTGCACCTGCCTCCTTGATGCTAACAAAAGATACTTAGGTTACTAAAGACCAGTTTGCTTTAAGAGAACTTTAGTCAAAAGCAGGCTGCTAGATTGGCTTACAGGTGTATGTAGTTTGTTTTTTGTTTGGGTTTCTTCTCCCCTGGCCTCTTCCAGTTCGTGTACCCTTATCTAACAAACAGATAGTAGGCTTGTCCTTCTAACTGCCTTCTGTGGAATCCTCGAAATACTCCCCAGAGCAAAAGGCATCTGTAGTTGACAGACTGAAAATTGCTCCTGGGAGTCTGAGTAGGTTTCAACCTATTTTACGATTAGCAACATTGGCTTTGGATTATTTTGGGGTTTCTGTCTTGGTGACTGTATCTTCTTGTACTATTCCTGTGTTCTTCAGGGACTTGCCTAATTTTGGGGGATCTCCCTTGCAGTGCTTAGGTAAAGCATTTATTTATGTTACACCAGAGTTACAGTAATTCTACTCTAGTTCCTATGAGTTGCCCTGATACCTTACAGTTGATGCCATCTTCTATAAAAATGCTCCTGCTGTTAAGTTCTCTGTAGATGGTCTACAGGTCTCCTAGTGATAATGAAGGCATGGGGCACACTTGCTGCTGGACCTGCCTTGGTACAGTTTGTTGGAGATCACACACTGCGTGTGAATGCTGTTCATACAGAAATATGTGCTGATCTGAATGTTTAGTGGAGTTGACAGAGGGGATCCTGGGGCAACAGCTGGTTTGTATCCTCGTAAGTGTTGAGAAAGGAATAAACCTTGACTGAGTATCAGAAGGCCTGTGGAATAAGAGACCTCTCACAAAATGGTTTGGGTAGAAGGGACCTTAAAACTCATCCAGTTCCAACCCCGTGCCACAGGCAGGGACACCTTCCACTAGAGCAGGTTGCTCCAAGCCCCTGTGTCCAACCTGGCCTTGAACACTGCCAGGGATGGGGCAGCCACAGCTTCTCTGGGCAGCCTGTGGCAGTGGTTGTACTACTCTCACAGTAAAGAACTTCTGAAGATCTAAGCTAAATCTACCCTCTGTCAGTTTAAAGCCATTTCCCGTTGTCCTGTGCCTGCATACCCTTGTAAAAAGCCCCTCTCCACATTTCTTGTAGGCCCCTTTAAGTACTGGGAGCTGCTCTAATGTCTGCCTCCTGAGCCTTCTCTTCCCCAGGCTGACCAGGCCAACTCTCTCAGCCTGTATTCATAGGAGAGGTGGTCCAGCCCTCTGATCATCTTTGATCATACTCAACTATCAGGCTATATCCAATGATTTCATAAATTTCATGTTCCTCATTAAATCTGTGTGTAGTAAAGCTTATGTAGGAAGATCAGCTGCGTTTATGTATTTAAAATATCTTGGTGTGGTGACTGATCTGATGTGGAGAGTTGGGACTGTAGCAAAAGAATACTGCCCTTCCCTCATTTAGAGGGCTACAAATGTGTAAGATAAGGTGAAATAATACACTTTTCTATATCTCCTTTCTTTAAAGACAGCAATAAAGAAAAACAACCCACGGAAATACCTGCGTAGTGTCGGGGATGGAGAGACTGTAGAATTTGATGTGGTCGAGGGAGAGAAGGTGAGAGATTATGCGGAATTTGGGCTGTGGTCCAATGAGGTAACATCACTCTAGTAAGGAGTTGTGCAACTATGGTTCTATGTGGCTGGTAGGCTTTTTTTGTCTAGTGTGTTAATCCCTGGGGTGGGTGGCATTCATATAGCTTTTCTGTGGAAGATCTGTATTTAAAGGCTTCGTTAAGAAGTATTTCTAGATACGTATCAAAAACTTTTTACTACCTCCTAGGGCTTCTAGAATCTGTAACTTTTATTCGTAGAACATTGGAAGCTTGCAGCATGCCCAGCAAACATTAACTAAGGCATATATTGCCCTGAAGAATGTCTTGGTGTCTGGTAGCTTAATAACTGTAAGAACCTTAAAGTTTTTTGTGTTTCCACTTTCTCAAATGCTTTTTGAGTTTTACAATTTTTTGTGGGGTTTTTTTTGTGTTGTGTTTTTTTTTTTTTTGTTTTGTTTTGCTTGTTTGTTTTTAAGTTACTACTTTCTCTTTTTCTCTTAAATCAGCCTGCCTGCTAAGGTCTGAATTCATGATAACAGCTCTTGGGTATGGGGTTGAGAATAACAAACCTGCTTTTGCATTATGTGGAAGGAAGGAATCTCTGATACTTGGAACTGTTTCGTCTTCTCCCTGTTGCTGATTGTTCTCACACCATCTTGATTGACTTTCTGTTGGCCTTTCAGGGTGCAGAGGCAGCTAATGTCACTGGTCCAGATGGAGTCCCTGTAGAAGGCAGCCGCTATGCTGCAGACCGGCGCCGCTATCGACGTGGCTATTTTGGCCGACGCCGTGGACCACCTCGAAGTGTAAGTTTAATTTCTCCAGTGGTAGTCATCCCACCTCCTCAGCAGTCTTACAATCCCCTCACGAGAGGGGGCTACAGGTTCAGCACTGCCATGTAGTAAACTGTTAATGTTTAAGTTGTGAGTTTTCTTCAGTAATATTTTTGTGTTCCTCCTTTGATGCTGATACTGCTATTTTCTACTGTTGGGTGTCCTGTAGGCCTTTCTTTGGCATATTGTTCTAGAATGTGTTAAAAGCATTCCTTTGGGTGTCAAGGTATCTTTTTGTTTTGAAGAATAAATACAAAGGACTAAGATGCTTAAGTGGTTCACCATGACCTTTACCTGAAGCAAGGAAAAGTATCTGTATTACTCTAAGGAGTATAACTGTAAATTGAAAGGGCTACCTGGAAAATGGGATTTGTTTAGAAGTTTGTCACTGTTGTATAATGTGGTAGTAGTTTGACTAACTAGTTGAAACCTCCACATATCATCCCTTCATAGACCTTTGCCTACAGCACTTCAGTGTAAAGATAAAGCCTTTTATTTTTTTCTCTTCAAACTAGCTACACATCACTTCATAACATCTGCAACCCTTCCAAAAGCAGCTTCCCTTTAGATGTCTGCAGAGGAAGAAGTATGAGGCACACCGCTGTAGTTCTAGCGGTTACTACTCCCATCCACATTATGCTTGTGCTAAATTTGTGTCTGGAACAATCCAACAAACTGGAACATACCCCAGGCTTGATTATCTGTTCTTTAATAGTCGAGTCTGTGATCATCACTTGCAGAAATAGGTGATCAATCTAATAGGAGAGCCCTGGTGGAAGTCTGTCCAAGCAACACAACCCTCTTCTCATCTTGCTCTACAGAGTTGATAGTAAGGGGGCAAATGGAACAAGTGTTGTCATAGAATCAGAGAATAGAATCAATTTGGTTGGAAAAGACCTTTAAGAGTATCAAGTCCAACCATTCCCCAGCACTGCCAAGACCACCACTAAACCATACCTCTGAGGGCCTCATCTACATGGTTTGTGAATGCTTCCAGGGACAGTGACTCCACCACTGCCCTGGGCAGCCTGTTCCAATGCCTGACTGCCCTTTGGGGAAGGAATTAATATTCAGCCTAAACCTCCCCTGGTGCAGCTTGGGGCTCTTACCTGTTGTCCTGTCACTTGTTGCTTGGGAGAAGAGACTGACTACAGCCTCCTTTCAGGTAGTTGTAGAAAGCGATAAAGTCTCCCCTGAGCCTTCTCTTCCCCAGACTAAACAACCCCAATTCCCTCAGCCGTTCCTCATCACACTTGTGCTCCAGACCCTTCACCAGCTCCATTGCCCTTCTCTGGACCTGCTCCAGCACTTCAGTGTCTCTTTCTGTAGTGAGAGGCCCAGAACTGAACACAGTGTTCAAGGTGCAGCCTCACCAGTACCCAGTACAGTGGGATGATCACTGCCCTGGTCCTGCTGGCTATGCTATTGCTGATACAGGCCAGGGTGCTGTTGGCCTCTTGGCTGCCTCGGCACAAGCTGGCTCATGTTCAGCTCCATCAGTCGGCACCCCCAGGTATTTTTCCATGAGCAGTTTTCCAGCCACTCTTCCCCAAGCCTGGAGCCTTGCATGGGGCCCAAATGCAGGACCCAGCACTCTGCCTTGGTGAACCTCATCCCGTTGGTCACAGCCCATCGACTGAGCCTGTGTAGATCAAATCCATCCATTGTCAAATCTACCCATAAAGCCTAGGTGTTTATACTAGCTACCACAAGGTCTTTTTAATCCTGCTGGACACCACTGAGTCTTAAATACATGAAAGGTGTTCTTGGAGTCCCTTGGAGATGGCTAGTAGTTGGTGCTGGTAACTGATGGCTTATTACTTGGTATGTCTTTGTTTCTGTGACAATACAGTTTGCTGCTGGAGCTTTCATGCCAAGTGGCAAAGAACTAGAATACTTGGGGTTTTTTCACCTTTTTGATGTTTCAAGTCTTACCTGTAGCTCATTAACCAGCTACATTCTAGTACTGTTTGTTTCCTTTTGCTCTACTGAGATTAAGATCTCCCTCAGCTGTCTTTATTGAGGGACTGAAGCAGGGACTGTCCCTGAAATTGTCCTAGTGTAGGTGAGTGAAACCACTCAAACTTGTGCAAATATTCTTGTTATCTCATGTGCTTTGGTGTATCAGCTGAGAGTTGGGTGAATCCTCATCTGAAGCTAGCAATACTTCCTTTTGAAGGTCTCTCATCTGCACCAGGCAAGATCGAGTTGCAGATGGTATGGCATTCTTGGGCTGTGTTTGAAAGGATATTTACTTAGCTGTAGGCAACTCTTGCTGCATACCTGAGGGAAAAGGTTTCCATGTACCCAAGCCTGGTATGCTTAAAGATCTTCTAGGCTGCAGAGGTGAAAGGTTTTCTTAGAAGTCACCTGCCCACATCATTAATCCTGTATTTACTAGCAAAAAAAAGTTGAATTTATTGAGGTGACTTTTGACATGGTGGCCTTCTCAGTTTCAGTTACAGATGTCAGTTACCTTGTGTAACACAGCAAGAGTTGCTTTCTCCTTCCTTCCTTTCTGGCATGGTTTTAGGTAAACTAATGCTGTTCTTTGTTTACCATGCTAGTTCACATGTGCCTGTACTGTGTAACTTAGTGAGTCTGGTCTTGACCACACTGTGAATTTCTGAAGAATGAAGGGAATGGTGAGGAATCTGAGATATTTAATCAGCTCTAGTGGGAAATGCATCTGGATTGCTTGGAAAGTTCTGTGTGGAGTAGAAGTACTTGCTTGTATCAGGAACTTCCTAATTGTATCCACTACAGAAAAGAGGCTGTGCTCTTCACTACACTGTAACAACATGGACATTGTGTGGAGTCGTAGTCAGAGTGTTTGAACAGGGAATGAATCATGGAATAACCTTGAGAACTAATAGTACCCTATGTACATGTTGTGTGTGTGACTAATAGAAGAAGCCTCTATACCAATGAGTCAGAAAATAAGCTAAATAGTTTAAGAGCTGTTTTATAGGCTGACACTACTTGTAGAGAGGAGACCTGAAAAGATTAATAGTATTATACAGAACAAGAGTGATCTGAAAAGATGCAAGAACAAATAAAGAAACACGGGGAAGCAGATGGGTAAAAAGCTCATTGCACTTGCAGTTAGTGCTTAAAAACTTGTATTTAGGGGACAGCAATAAAATTTTTCACTTTTTTAGGTGTTCTATAACCTTTTTAGGGCTGTTTTGCTATAAGGTATTGCACTGAGTTGGAAGGTTCCTGTGAAGGAGATTGAGTGAACAGGATCATGTGTGTGCTGGACATGGTGTGATGCTTTTAGGAGTACAGATGTAGCTTTCCTAATAAAATCTAATATTTACTGGTAGTAAGTGTAAGACCTCAATGCTCAGGTCCCATTCTGCATCCATTCTGGTGACTTCTGACAGCATAGTTTTATCCTGGAGCCATACTTCACTTCTGAACAGTACACCTAGGTCAAATGGACAGTGATCCTAATGTAATGTGTCAAGTGAATTTCTGTGCTACTATAGAATGGGCGGAAAATTGTCAGGACTTACAGGCTAAGCAATTCAGTTGCTTCACTGTTGTGTTTTCAACTGATTGTTTAAACCAAGCCAATTTAAAATACTGACATAGCAACATTCAGTTCAAGGTTAATAGAAAAATGTTTGCATTGGTTTTGAGTAATGCTTCACCAGGTGTAGAGATAGTCTTTTTATCTGAGATTCCAATGTAGCCCTTTGTAGGGAGAAGTGGACTTGAACTTCTACATGTTTTTAATAGCACAGCCCAGTACTGCCTTTTAAAGAGCTCTGCATGTGATGCTGAGTGTTAAGTGCTATAGGAGGGCTTTGGCTGGTAAAAAACCACTGTTGTGTGCCCCTCCCTACAATTAGGTTGGTTGCTGCTTTACTAGCTTCTGGTACATTGTCCCTCAAAGAGAAGACCTGCTAGGTCTTTGGTTCTGTATTTCTGGCATTGCAGAGCTAGAACTGAGCAATGATTTCTTGTGCTTGCTCGGAAATCCTGGAGAAGAGAAATGGCACCTATGCTGGAACGCATTGAGGATTGCTTTAGTTTTGTGCCCTCTCTTCCCTTTATATCTTGCTGCTCTCTTCTCCTGTTTCTGTGCTTTGCCAGTCCTTGCATGATGAAGAGAGTGAGAGCAGGAGCAGCATTAGTTTCTTGTTTTGCAGAAGGTGAATCCCAAGACCTCTGAATCACTATTGTCACACACAGTACTGGTGGTGCTATTTCTCACCTTTCTGTCTGAAGACACTTCTAACCATTCATCACAGGTCTATTAAACTGTAAAGTTATTTAGTACAAAGTATGTTGATAGAAACAGGGCAGATTGGTATTCCAAATTAGATAGAAGTAGTATAATGCTATTGTAAACTCAGAAGTATAACTTTTGTGTTGGGTTCTGAATGTCTCGAGTACTTTTCACTTTCTGTCAGGTGCTGCCTGTTATTACTATCTACTTAGTAAGTGGGAGTTCCTGTGAATATTTAGTTATCCCAGATTTAAGTCTTTTGAGTATCAGCTGCTTTTTTTTTTAGTTGATCTGTTGGTGTTTCTGTACTGAAACTGGTTTTGTGTTCAGATTCACATCACTAGGGTTTATGATTAACTATTAATTAATTAACTGCCCATGAAGTAAGGTAACACTTCATTGTTGACTGTCTTCTGTTTTCTTTTGGTTATAGGGTGGTGAGGGAGAAATCAAGGATGGGGTCACAGAAGGAGGACAACTTCATCAACAAGTCCATAGGAATCCCACCTATCGTCCCCGCTATCGCAGGTTTGTACTGTTTCCTTTGCTCATCATTCCTTGGATGCTTTGTGATCCACACAGGCTTCATCAAGAGCAGGAAGCTGTATTCCCTGCTGTTAATGTCTATGCAAATCTTGGGGACAGTGAGAAGGTTTTAATTACCAGGAGAAAGGTGAGCCTCTGGAGTAAGGAAACAACTGTAGAGTTTGTTTATAGTGCTTATATAGTGCTTGGAGTCAGGACGAGGTCAAGAATGGGTGAAGAATTCCTTGTATCCTGTTACTTTTCAGTATGTTGCTTAATTGTGAAGTGAGTTGCAGGTCCATGTCTGCCTATCTGGACTCTTATGCTTTCTTGGACAAGTAGTGAATCCAAATCCCACTTGCCTAGGACACCTAGGCCCACCATCTGCAGGGTCAGGGTGTGCCTTATAACTGTTCCAGAGGACTGCAGACAGTAGTTTGCAGTTCAGCACTGGACTACAGCTTGTGTACATCCAGCTTAGCCCTGTCTGTCATGCAGGCTTGCCTTTATGCACTGGTGCTGCTTGTAGTAGCTACAGACGATAGTCAACTGTTGAGTAAATACTGAAGTTGTGTCCTCTCTTACAGGCCATTAGATTATATGGTAAAGTTATAGGTACCTTGTTCCCAACTTGTACTTTCTGTTGCCCCTTGGTTTCCTGTGAAGAGAGATTCTGTCCTCTTTGTAGCTGCCCTTTAAGTACTGAAACCTTGTGATGAGTTCCCCCAAGCCACCTTTTCTCCAGGGCTGGCTTCCTCAACCTTTCCTCATATGCCAGTTTGTCCAGCCCTTGGATCATCATCTTGGCCCTCCTTTGGACTACATCCAGTCTGTCTGCCTCCCTTTTTTTACTTATGGGGACCAGCACTGGGACACAGTACCCCCAGGTGTGGCCTGATAACTGCTAAGTAAAGTGCTATGTTCTCATCCCCTTCTGCCACTAATGCCTCTGTGGAGGCAGCCCAGGCTCTGTTTTGCCTTTGACTCATGTTTGGGTTTTGCTGACTTGGTTTGTTCGGTCCGTACAACAGATAGTGGGAGATTCTTGCTACAGGATGTTGGGGATGATAAAAACTTGCATGAGCTTGGGAGAGACTGGTCAAATAGCAGAGGAGAATGCCATTGTAAACCAGGTAAACTCCATCTGGCTTGGGAGGTCTCCAGCGTGGAAATTAATTGGAAGCTGGGAGGCTATTTGGGAAGTAGGTTTCCTTGTCCTTATTTTCCCCTGGGGATCCATAGAAGTGGCATAAATGGGCACTTAAAGACCCACTAGGCAGTTTTTAGTTAAGATCTCATGGAGTTCATGGAGTTCACATCAACACTGATGTTTTCCAGTGGGAAATACAGAGGAAGTTGCTAAGTCATCTGTTAGTCATACCTTAAACTGGCCAGTGTAGGATTGTTTTCTTTATTTTCCAGCCTTAGTTCTGACATGACCACTGCAGCTTCCAGCCTCTACACTGAGGGAACAATTCCATAGCTAAGGAGCTGGGTGCAGTTAAAAATATCAGTGATATCAGTGTGAAATAGTCAACCTCTGACTGTCATAGCGTTTTGAGATGTTGCCTCACTTGTGGCTTGTTTTCTTGGTGGTTTTGTTTGTCTGTTCTTGTGTTTGTGTTTGTTCTGTGTTAGGTTTGGGGTTTTTTTATTATTTTTTATTTTTATTTGAATACCTTCAAATGAAAAAGCTCATTTGGATTCTTCTTCAGACTTGTTTTATCATGGAGAATGAGTGACAAGTCAGATAAAGCACTAGGTTACTTTCACTGGTGTTCTTAAGATTGTAACAGACCTCTGCAACGTCCTTCTCTCTGGGAGATCTATGGATTCGATGGGTGGACTCCTCAGTGGATGAGGAATTGGTTGGATGGTCACATCCAGAGGGGGAGTGATCTCCCTCAAGGGTCAGGACTGGGACCAGGGCTGTTTAATACCTTCAACAACATGGCAAGTGGGATTGATGCACTCCCAGTAAATTTGCAGATGATGCCAGGCTGAGTGGTGCAGCTGACATGCCTGAGGGATGGCATGCTGTCCGGAGGGATTTGGGCTCAAGCATTGGGCCCATGTGACCCTCATGAGGTTCAACAAGGTCAAGTACAAGATCCTGCATCTTACTTGGGGCAACCTCTGGTATCAGTACAGGCTGGGGGATGAATGGATCGAAAGCAGCCCTGCCAAGAAGGACTTTGGAGTGCTGGTGGGTGAAAAGCCAGATACGACCTGGCATTACACACTTGCAGCCTGGAAAGCCAACTGTATACTGGGCCACATCAAAAGAAGAGTGGCCATCAGGTCGAGGGAGGTGATTGTGCCCCTCTATTCCACTCTGGTGAGACCTCATCTGGACCACTGTGTACGGTTCTGGAGTCCTTAGTGCAGGAAAGATACGGGCCACAAAAATGATCAGATGGATGGAGCATCCCTCCTTAGGAGGAGAGGCTGAGAGAGTTGGGGCTGTTCAGCCTGGAGAAGAGAAGGCTCCAGGGAGACCTTATTGTGGCCTTTCAGTGCTTAAAAGGGCCCTATAAGAAAGATGGGGGTAAAGTTTTTGGCAGGGCCTGTAGTGATAGGCCACAAGGGGTTGATGGTTTTATAGTGAAAGGGGATAGGCTTAGACTAGATTTAAAGAAAATGTTTTTTACAATGAGGGTGGTAAAACACTGGGACACGTTGCCCAGATAGGTGGTAACATTCAAGGTCAGGTTGGGTGTGACTCTGAGCAATCTGGTCCAGTTGAAGGTGTCCCTGCTCTTTGCAGGGGAGTTGGACTAGATGATCTTTGAAGGTGCCTTTGGACTCAACTGAATCTATGATACTGCTCTCAAGGAGCTGGTTTGTGTTAGTCTGCCATTCACTCACTTGCTCATCTTCATCTTGTCTATCAATTAGCTTATGAGGTCAAGTTCTAACACTGAATTTAGTGAGATGAGCTATGAAATGATGTAATCCCCATTTTTTTCCATATGTATTTCTTTTTGAAAAACAAAAAGCAAGAGGTAAATGACAGTGCAAGAGCAACAAGCAGCTGAATTTCATGGCAATAGCAAGGTTATGCTTGATGGTAATGACTATCTGTTCCATGCATAATGGATCCATCCTTCTGGTTGCTGGGTCTAGAGCTTAGAAGCCTTCCACCTCTACTCTGAGCTTTTCTGTATGAACATTTATGTTGAAGTTGTCCTTCTTATCTTATCTAGGATTGTGGGGAAATACTGATGCTGCTGCTTGTAGGCATCTGAGTTGAATAAATTTGATTCCTCAAAGGCTTCATTAGCATTGGGCAGACAGGAGTAGCACCATACCAAGCACAATGAGGCACCTGAGCTTTTGCATATTGTAAGTGAATCGCAGACTGGGTAATTTGCCTGTGGCTAATGGGAATTTGTGCATTTCTGATGCCTTTTTCCTATAAGAGGTTTGGTACATACTATATGAGCGCAGAAGGCTTCTGGTTGAATTAATAGGTAAGTGTTGCTTGCATTTACATGCGTTAAATCCAGTAACACTAGAGCTTTTTGTGTTGCTTTTCCTTGGAAAAGCTAAACTGGCTTTTGGGACTAGGTAGCTGTGGGTTAGCTAAGACAGGCAGTGGAAACTAGACAGTAGGCAGTGACTTTGTCATCATTCTTGGCTGTGTTTTAATAACTTATGGACATAGGTTGCATATACTGGAAATGGGATTAAATGTTCTTGCATCTCACCTGACTGAAATACATGCTACACTTCCTTACATGATCAGGAGGGGCAACTTAAGGGGAAGAGCAAAGATCCAGGAACAGTTTACAGCAGGAATTCCTTGGGATTGCACCGTTAATTATGAATAGGGCTGGGCTGGTATATAGCTATGCCAAGGCTAACTGAACAGAATCAGTCTGCGTGGCCATTACTGGCTTGTTTCTTCTCCTAGCCAGCAGTTCAAATAGGCTAACTACATCTTTAATGTAGGATAGACAGAATACGCTGACGTAGTGTCAACAGGGAAGAAACACCCATATTGCTTGTCCTTCCCTTCCAACTCTATGCCAGCCAAACTCCAAAGGATTGTTTTGCTATCACTCAAAACTGTTAAAGATGGTACTTGGTTAGAGAGTTTTTGGGGGGTTTTTTTTGGAGGGGGGGGGGTTGGGGTTTGGTTTTTTTTTTTTTGTTCGTTTGGGTTTTTGGTGGATTTTTTTTTTTTTTCCCTCCAGGCTAAAATTATGAGAGTTTAACCTTCTTGAGCTTCTCTCATACTTAACACCTATTTCTCCCCTCTTCAGAGGGCCCCCGCGTCCACGCCCTGCCCCAGTGGCTGGAGAGGGGCCCCAGTGGCTGGAGAGGCTGAGAACAAAGAGAACCATCACGAAGCCAATGCTATGAGTCAGCAGCCACTTCGCCGTGGATACAGGCGCCCATACAACTACAGGCGTCGGCCTCGTCCACCCAACGCTCCAGCTCAGGATGGGAAAGAGGTAAGTACGCTCCTGGCACAACGTGGCAGAGACTGATGAGGTTTTAATGGGGTGAGTGCTCAAGACCTGTCCTGTGGGTGCCAAAGGAGTCTGGTCAAGTCCAAAGTGTTGGTAGCTGAAGGTATCTGGCTTCATTGCGTGTTCCTTGTGACTTTGTTTGGGAATGAGTAGCTTACCTCAAATGGAGCCAGCAGTGGGATAGGGATTGCGTCTGGGTAGTTCTTGATTTAGGACACACTGTAATAAATGTTTTTGAATTGGAGAGAAACAGTTGTTTTCCAGTTCCCTCAAACCTTCAATCTGTATGTAGCACAAGAGAGATTTGACACATCCAGATCCACTTGCTGAACAGCTTGAACCAGGTTAGTTCAGTGAACTGCTTGCAGACACAACTTTTGTGTTAATGACAGAAGACACTCTCATTCTGTATCTACTTGAGGTAGTCCCCTGACAGCATCTGCTGTGTAATACTTGATGTTTTCTGAGGATTTGTCTTTGACTGTTTTCAAACCTGGGTTATGCTACCACTGAACAAAGGAAGCATCAGGGGGTCAGTCTGTGTCTATAATAGAGGTTTATTGTCTCACAGACAAAGGTGACTGAAACACCTGCTGAAAATCCTGGTCCAGTGACTGAGCAGAGTGGTGCTGAATAAAGTCTGGCTCCACAGGCACCTTTACCATCCCTCAGGTAAGGAATATAGATGGTTCCTGTTCTCCAGCTGAAGCAGCATGGTGTATGCTTGTAGGGCTTAGCCTCTAGCTACATCACTTTACATATGATTAGGTATTTGTGATAACTTCTGAGAACAGTCTTGTTGCTGCTTTTCTCGCCTTTCTTTCCTCTGCCTCTGTAATTGTCACAAAGTACGAGGAAGATCTATCTGGTCCATACAGCAACAGCATCTGCTGATGAGTTAGTAGTGTTTTGTTTTAGGAAGATGCTGTACTCTCAGCTTACAGACAGGATAACCTAGTCATGCTTATCCTGTTTTACTGGGATAATTCCCTCTCCACCTGACATCTCGCCTATGCAGCAGGAAAATGAAGCTTAAACTGCATTGTTTTCAATTTGGCTCTTCAACAGGTGTCCTAAAATACAACTCAAAAGTTACACCAAAGAAACACACAAAGCAATAAATCGTCAACAGTGACGACAAAAAGCAAAGATTTGAACCATCGGCACTTAAACATGTACCAGCAGCTGAGACCCAGGGAACGCCTGCAAGAGATCCATAAAGGAAGGGCAAGAGAGCAAGATCCAGCCAGAACACCCTCCCCGGTTTCAACAGCAACCCTGGGCTTTGGTGGTTTTGTTTTCAATTTCACTGTTTCGCTAGTATTGAATTTTTCAATTTTTCTTTTGGTATCAAACTGAAAAGGGGGGAAAAAACCTCAACCAAAGAACTGAAATTGAAATAAAAGCGCTTTTTCTTTTTTTTTTTTTTTTTTTTTTTTTTTTTTTTTTTTTTTTTTTTTTTTTTTTTTTTTTTAATAATTGGATGCTGGTGCTAAACCTCCCATGTGTGATGAGGTTTTTCTTTTTTCTGTGCCAGTCCTGGTCACTGCAGGACGGGGGGAGGAGAAACTTGCGCTTTCCTTGGTAAGATCTATTTGAAACTGTGCAGCATGGGTGACGTTCCTCACAAATAAAAGTGACTTCAATTACAAAACAACCTGGGGTGTTAGTGTGTTTGTTCACATCTACTTTTGAAAGTAGTTAATGATTTGAATCTTGCTGCTTCAGCATTTATATGTGAAAATGAGACACCCTGTCTAGTGTGTGTTGATGGATCTTGTCTGAAACGATGCTGGATGATACATGTGCAAGGACATGGCTAGGCTAGGTGGATCTACTTCAAGCCAAAACAACTTCTGCAGAGAATTTACACAACAGAATGATACCCTTTGCTGTCCTCTCTGCTTTTCTGACTGAAATGGTGTTAATGGTTGGGTTTTTCTGTTACCATCTTGTGGTAGGAGTTTGCGGGGGGTTGGAGTGGGTTGCTGGGATGTTGTTTTTCCCTATCTGTTTTCTAGGCTTTTGTGTTCTTTAAACAGCAGAATACTCTGCTCAGAAAGACAGAGTAGGCTTTGGTAACTGCCACTCTATTAAAGCTTCTGTTCCAAATAACAGCAGTATGTTTTACTAGCCTCTCCACTTTTCCTTATTTGCAGCTAGTAAAATCTCTGTGTTAAGGAGCAGAGTACTTAAAAATGTGTGGTTTTCTAATGTCCCTCCCTAAAACTTGGATGCCTTGCAAGTGTTATCAGTCTACGTCCAGCTGTTCAATATGGGTGTGTGTATTCAGCTATCTTGTTATGTCCTTCATTCTCTAGTCCACCATTTCTCACGCTCCCATCTTGCAGTTGCTGTTATCCAAACCTTAGATAGTATAATTGTTTTCTTAAAACATCTTTCTGTTCTTAGCTCTGCAATCTTTACCCAGCCTTTACTGAATAACACTTCATGTAAAGCCCCTGGGGCTGGAGCCACACTCTGTGTGCATGTAGACAGGTACTTACTGTGCTTGTCCCCTCTAGTTTGCCTGTTCTTGCACACTATTAATAATGACAAATTATACGAGGTTCTCTGGAGACACAGTTTTTCATGTAGGGGGAGCTTAGGGGATAATTGAGTTTCCAGCTCCTGGGAAGGTGAGGAATGGCCCTTGCACCCTGTTGCCTTTGCCTTGGGAGCCATAGGGGAAGGTTTAGTGATGCATGAGTTGCACTGCCCACAGCTGACTGCATCAGGCATTTCCTGCTTGGTTTTGCAATGAATTAGAAACCTTTCGAGGTGCGAGTTGAAAGCTACAGGCTTGCTTCAGGAAGGAGAATGCTTCTGACTCCCTTGAGTACATGCACATAGTTGTACACACTGCAAGCTTATGTAGTGCAACCTGCCGTTGCAGCACTTACGCAGCAGTTGTGAAAGGACGTTGATACAAGGGTTGCTGTGAGACTTGAGTTTCTACACTGAATCTGGCAATCTGTAGGCTGGGAAAGATGTGGAGATGGACACAGTGGTATTCTAATGTCTTCCCTTGGAAAATTAAGAATATGGTTGTTCTGACAATAAAATTTAATAGGGTGAAGAAAACATAACTGTAAAATACCTTTTTAAATTTCTTAAGCAGGACAATCCTTAGCAGGCTTCCGTTTTATTCAGTACTAGATCTATTTTGGGCAGGCTAGGGTGAGCTTGGCAGTTTCATCCTAGTATAAGCAGATGTATAACATTCATAAATACTAACCCATTACTGCAGAGCTTGTCATAAACTACTTGAGTTCCCTTCAGTTGTTCAGGAGTGATTTTTCTTAAAGTGAGATTTGACAGGCCAAAGAGAATTTTCTTAATCTCTGCAAAAATGTAGTCATTATCAAGTCAATGGAACAGAAGCACATAACTAAGCCATCCTTATTTTATGAAAGAAGAAAATGAGGGAGAGATGCAAGTAGTGTCCTAGTGTCTAGTTCTGTTGCTGTTATTTCAGTCCTGCCTCTGTGATAAGAAGAATCCTTGCATAAAACAGCAGCATGTGACTGATGTAACCTCCTTGATCCTTGAATTCCTGGTTATGAAAATACAGGCTCAGCTTAAGCAAGTCTAAAATACTCACTGAAATTACACGTTAACTGTCTTGGGCTGGGTGTAAATTGTTGCCTTACCAGGCCGCTTGTTCTCTTATAAGCTGAGCTTTGGCTGAAGAAATCTAAAACTGGTGCTCAATGGTGAGGGGCAGTTCTCTTGGCAACTGTGGTGCTTCTGTAGGTGAATAAGGTGGTTTACCTCAAGCATGACTTCAGACGAGTGCTTGGTTTGTAGGTTTGGTTTGTTTTAAAGTCTCTTAGCTACAAGGATTTTGAATTTGCAGAGTAGTTAACATACTTCTATACCTACTTGGAGCCCTTATTTTTGTACTCTGTTCATTCTTTCATTCCAGCATTCTTCCCTTTCCTAGGCCCTGGTAATGGCTTACACTTGGAGTGGGTTACATTTTCATAGTGTCACCATTTTACAGTGTTTTCATAATACTCCTCCTGCTTGACTGTACCCAGGCTTTTTGCTTGTGAAGGCTGCTGTCTACTGTGATGTAGCTGCAAAAATATTCTCCATGGCTTGTGATCTTTTGGGGAGGATAAGGAAGGGAAGAAGACAATGCTGTAGACCCTTGTACATTTTTGTCTAAGTATAAAAGTCTTCCATTGATAAGACAGTGATTCAGAGAATGTCTCTGAATGACATTCGGAGTTCTACTGAAGAACAACACATCTGTGTGCAGACCTTCCCACCCACTTCCACGGGTGGACAGTACACAGGTACTGTATCTCACTTCCAAGCCGTTCAACAAGTGCCTTGGAAGTGAAACAGACTTTCTGCTGCAGTAGAAAAGCTTTTGACATGAAGTCTGTGCTACACAGAACTTTATTTCACAGCTGGTTTTGCAGAACTTTGTGCATACTTGTTTCCTGCTGGGGCACATGCTTGAGACTCCCCCATAGAACACTATCGTAAGCTTGCATGTGATATGGGTAGTAAGAGTTGTAGTGACCCGAATAACTCTAGAACAGGGGTTTTCAAACTCTTCAATATGTGTATCTATGGAAACTTCCAGTGAAAATGGAAAACCATAAGTCTGACACTTATTTCTTGTTGCTTTTTAAAAAGGCTGTTTGTAGATCCTGAGTTCAAAGTCACTGCCTTAGATGTTATTACCCTTTCTGCTAGTTTGGACAACCAGCTAGCCTTCATTGCTGGTGTTCTGGAGAAACCACATTCTGAGATGATCTGACATAACTTGGAGTGTGAGGGGGAATGGCTGCACAAGCCAAGCAGCAGCGGGATCCTTGCTCAAGCGTAGAGGAGATGAGAAAGCTTTGGAGGCCATGGCAAACAGGTGGCAGCTTGCACTCTTAGTTTGGGCTGTTGACAGTAGTGGAGTGATGCAGTTGTGATTTGATGTTGAGTGTTAGAGCTAGACAAAAACACATGGGGCAGAAAACTGATCCTGATAACTTATTACCACCATGATGAGGTGCATGATTACTTTTAATATCTCAAGGTTTTAAAATGTGGTAGGAAAGATCTACAGAATGTTGTCACTGAGTTCAGAGCTTCATCCTATTTCCTGTTATCAAAATGCATCCATCATTCTTCAGTGCTTGACTGTCAGTCTTGAGTTTTGACTTGTAAATTATGATCTTTGTAGGACCACACAGGACCTTAGAATTACTCAGGAATTCCAAGGATGATTTGCTATAGAGTATGTGTCTATAGTACAGGAAGATCTGCTCTCAAAAAAATCAAAGTATGGGTTAAACGTGTGCTGATCCATGCAGTCAGATAAACAGCAGCAGCCTAGAACCCAACTTCAGATGCACCTCAAGTTAAAATCCACCTTCTGCTGTTTTAACATGTTAGGTAGCAGCAGTTAGGTGGTAAGAGTCAAAATATGCTTTGTACAGTGTACCTGCAATAGGCTTGTTTTGTTTCCAGAGTTCTGTGGTTACTGCTCAGTGTTGCTCTAGCTAATTATTTTCACTTGTATCACACAGTATCCACAACTTTGTCCATGACTTGTACCGTGCTGTTAACAGTTTTTAATGGCCTCTAAATCTTGCCTTTCTTCTTCTGAAAATCCTCTGCGCAGTATGGTGCTGGTGTATGTAACTGGCTGTATGTAAAATCCCAGCAATTTCATAAGCTTGGGATGGCATCCCAAATGTGGCATGAAAGCTTAAACAGTTACTAAATGTACCTGCTCTAACTAATGCCTCTGTATGCCTGCCTTTAGTCTGGCTTTCTGTAAAGGGAAAGATGCCATGTGTCCCCTTCATTCACTATTTGACTTTCTGAGGAGTCACCAATAGTTTTCCAGTTAGCAGAACTCAATCCATGTGCAAAAATACATGGCATTTTAGCCCCCTGTAATCTTACTGCCAACGTGCCTATTTCAAGGGTTCAGATCCAAAGCACCTACAGAAAACCAGGCAAGTAGACAATAGTTTATCAGAAACAGGAAGAAGAGAAAATAATGTTTCTGTTGAAAAACTGTAAATGCGGAAGCAGGGAGGAGGCAGAGCTCTAAAAAAGAAATCAGTATTAATAGAATGAACACACCAAAGGCTCTGTCACTTTTTCTGCTCATAGAGCCTAGGTGGTAGAGTCCTTGCCCTGAAGGAAAAAGCTGTCTGAAGGAATGTTGTTCACCCTCTTTGTTCTCAATAAGCTCTTTGCTTCTCTGCTAAGGATGCCAGCAAAAAGAACATTATGTTGATAGTAGCATGTGTAAATAGGCTGTTACAGGTTCAATCATCTCTTCATACACATATCAGGGAAAAATTGCTGCACGGATCTGGAGTGAGATTTTTAAACAATGCCAAGTAGAACAGCTAGTACAGATTCTCTTCTTGAGCCTTTCTGAGGTAACCTGAATTGGGGCTATAATAGTCAAGAATTGGAAAGGACTAGTACTAAATGATATCAATAATGTAACCAGAGCTGTAGGCCACAGTCTGACAAGGATCGAGGTGCCTAAGGGGACATGTGAAATGTCAACAGCCCCCTCCGTGTTGGAGAGAAGGGCAGTTTCACCCATCAGAATTTTTTTGGAGGCTGCCTATTGACCTTTTAGCCATGTCTTACCTGTTTCTTGCTGAAAAGCTGTTAATGGAAACTCTAAAAAGTGTTGAGAATCTAGGTACCTCTGATGAGTGCAGTAGCACCTGAGCTGCTAGAGAAAAAGGGGTTGTAGAGACACACAAGGTGTCCTATCTTAGAGGGAAGATAGCTGTTCATATTCAGAAGAGGAATGTGCTTTGAGCTATGGTATCTCAGGCTGTTTGGACCAGACAGCTCAGTTTGGTGGCTCTTGGGCAGTTTGCACTTAGGCAGTTTGCACTTAGGCATAGACCCTCTCGTCTTGCCCACAGGTTAAGTTCATAACTAAGATCAGTAAATCTTGTGATAAGGACAGTAAAAGCATTGCAGTGTTAAACACCAGAGCATCTGCTACCCTTAGTAGGTTTCTAAGGGTCGAGTCTGTAACCCTTTTGGTAGCTTCACACACTTGGCCTATCAACTCATGCGGCTCTTGGACAGTTTGCACTTAGGCATAGACCCACAGGTTAAGTTCATAACTAAGATCAGTAAATCTTGTGATAAGGACAGTAAAAGCATTGCAGTGTTAAACACCAGAGCATCTGCTACCCTTAGTAGGTTTCTAAGGGTCGAGTCTGTAACCTCTTTGGTAGCTTCACACACTTGGCCTATCAACTCATGCAAAATGAAGCAGGGTGAATACAGGTTCCAGAACCTGTCCAGGGGTCTGCATAACAAGAGGAAAAACTAACCAACCAAGCAACAGAATATTACAACTGATTCGTGACATTCTTATTAAGTGTTACTTAGCAGAGGCTAAGGAATGAATTAGTAAGGAAACAGAGTCCCTTACTGCTGTATTTGGCATCCAGATTGGGAGTGCACTGGTGCCAATTTCTCTTGCTTCCGTAGCAGTTTTGTAGAAGAATGCTTTGCCTTAAATACAGTACAGGAACCACCTGTGAGTAAGTGCTGTGCAGGCTCAGGTCACGAAAGTGGAATTCACTTAAGAGTGAACATAAAGCCAAACTGCTGCTGACACTTTTCATTACAGAAAGCTGTGGTGATGGGAGATTAAGAGATGTCAACCCAGCAATCCGGATTACTTATACAGTTACGTGAGCACCAGATGGGGCTGTTGCTCCACAAACTTTACTGAGAATTCATATGGTAAAACCCTGTGACTGAAACACCCTAATTTCCTTTATGGGTTGTTTCTCCTGCATCTAAATCATCTAGCTGGGCTGAAATGTGGTAGATGGTGAGATGTGTGAAACAAAATTCACAATCCCCACAAGCACATTCTCAAGGTAAAGAAAAAAAAAAAAGAAAAAGAAAGAAAAGCAACCAAAAATATGCACAAATTATTTCAGTAGTAATGGAAAAGTATAATCATCTTGGTGTATAGTTTTTCAAGGAAAATGCACTGTTCTTATGCTGGTGCATATCCCAAACTCTTCTCTGGTTATGATCATACAGCTGGGAAGGAACTCTTGGAGAGAAAGAGGCAGCAGACCCAACCTACTCAGCCAGCCATATTATCATAGAATCATGGAATGGTTTGGGTTGGAAAGGACCTTAACATCATCCTGCCATGGGAAGAGACACCTCACACTAGACCATGTCACCCAAGGCTCTGTCCAACCTGGCCTTGAACGCTGCCAGGGATGGAGCATTCACAACTTCCTTGGGCAGCCTGTGCCAGCGCCTCACCACCCTCACAGTGAAGAACTTCTTCCTTATATCTAACCCGAACTACCCCTGTTTAAGTGTGAACCCATTATCCCTTGTTTCAGTTTAAACCCATTTCCCCGTGTCCTATTGCTACAGTCTCTGATGAAGAGTCCCTCTCCAGCATCCTCATAGGCCCCCTTCACATACTGGAAGGCTGCTCTGAGGCCTCCACGCAGCTTCTCTTCTCCAGGCTGAACAACCCCAACTTTCTTAGCCTGTCTTCACAGGTATCCACAACACCCATGCTGCTAACTCACTCTTCCCTCACAGCAGGGTGGCCTGGTACCTCAGTGTAAACACCTCTCCTTGAGACTGAGTTGGTGCTCGGTGGTTAATAGCCTATAATTCGTCTGCTTTTTTGTGAGGAGAAAGTTAAGGTGCTCTTAATGCCATCTGTTGTTGGTCCTGTAATGCCTTGAAGTTATACAGCAAAACAATATCCATTTTAAAGCATCTTCCAAATTTCAGAAAGGAAAGAATGTTACCAGATGCCTCCTTTCCTTACAGCTATACTCTGACCCTTTAAACTAGAGAAACAGTATTCTGACAGGTTTATTGCAGCCTTCCAACCACAGGAAATGGGATTCAACATCACTACTGTCATAATTAAGATACATTTTATGGAAGTGTTGGTTTTGACCAGTATTTTTAATTCAAAATGGGATTCCTGGATTCATACAATTTGATGTTTGTTTTTTTTTTAAATACTGTCCACTTGCTTTAAATGTCTGAATGAAAACTGAGCTTTCTGGAAAATCTCAAGTCAATCCAAGCGTAGCACTTTATAGCTGAAAAGTCACACAAAAATCACAAAATTCAGTAGATTCCTACACAAGCTGTTAAAGACAGTGCATTTTCAAAGACTTTTGGTTTTAATATAGAATTGAAGAGTGAAGACAATGTAGTCAAAGGTACCGAAGTGACAACATGCCATTAAAAATCCTCCAGAGATTAACTGAAACCTAAGTTAGCTCATGCTGCTCTGCCATTTTGCCCTACCTTGGCTGGAGTGAAGACCTATCCACTGGAAAGTCAAGAGTAGATGTTAATGTTCTTTACCATTTGTACCTCTAGAAAAATTTGGTAGCTTTGGGGGGAAAAAGTGAAATTACTTATTTTTCACTTCAATGAGATAAACATTCTGTCTGTGAACCAAGAATACAGCCTAAAAATCTTTTGACAGATAATTTAGACGTGATTAAGACAAGGAAATGCCTTTTCAAAAGGGATAGAGGTGCTCTCACTTGTTACATGGTGCTTATTTTCTAGTTGAAAGAGACTGACTTTAATAAGGAAGATCCTTCTCAAAGCTTGCACTGACTTCCATCTCAGATACTCTGTTATGCATTAACTACAAGCCACAAGCTGGTGCTCTTCAATCCACACCTTGTCTGCAAAAGAAAATAACTTCTTTTTTTTTCTTCCTTTTTTAATATGGGGCGGTAGGAACATACAAGCATGTTTTATAATGTGGTTAGTTTTGTTTCTGCAGCAATCCCACAAATGACAGCACACACAGGGCAGTCTGTAATGGTAAACAATCTTCTCCTAAATGAGAGATGCTACCTGCCTTTAAGAGGGTTTGAGAAGAACAATCTTGCTGTGAAAACCAGTCTAAAGAAATGGTTAAAAATCCAGGGAAGGAAAATGAAACAACCACAGATGAGCTATCTAAAAAATAAAATTCTTTAACTGAATACCTACTTGGCAGTCCCACATTGAATTACCTTGCTCTATCTGCAAATCCAGCATTTCACCTGTTTTTCATTGGGAAATAAAAGTAATTCTTCAGTTTTCCTTGAAAGGCATGTGCTGGTGCAATATCACTGCAGCGGTTCACTGCACCCCCTCTGCATACACACACACACACACACCCCACTAACACCCACACACAACCCCCCCTCCCCGTCATTTGTTCAGGTATCAAGGAATTCCATGGATATTGATGAGTATGATCTTCCAGGGAGAAAGATACAGAAGGCAGGTAAATTGTGTATGTGTACACACCACAAGGATTACTGATGAGCATGATAAAAATAGGCATATTGTTACCTTTTACCTTCAACAATATAAACATATGTGTATATAATCTTATTCAAATACTTCCATAGATGTGTACACATAAGTATTCTTAGCAAGATGAAAACCAATCCATTTTCCACAGTATCTGTGAAACCTCCACAAAAAAGCCTAGAGTGACTTTGCAAGGGTTGGAGTTCTGTGAACATGACTGAATTCAATTTACTCTTTATTTTGCTCTTCACCTTTAAATTCTATTAGCACTTCTTGCCATTTCTTCTCTATCTCTTCTTTGCATCTCAGGAAGGCATCTTCCAAACACTTCATGGAGTTGGCCAGGTCAGGGTTGGTACGCGTGACCACCATCTCAAATGCCATCCAGGTTGCGCCCACTGCAAACCCAACAGATAAAGTAAGCCAGGAATTTTGGCTAAATAAAAGCAATAGATGATTCAATAAATGAACAAAGGACATGAATTTTTATCAGTTCAGATCCTATGTCAGAGAAGACTTGCTGTATAATAAAGTGGAAACTGAAATACTCAATATTAAATAAAAGACTATTCAATATTACTGCTTTATAAATGTCTCAAAATGCTTCAGAATGGAAGAAATACCGATGTAAATTACAGAAGGGAGAGAGACATTTTACCTAAAACTTGCAACAAAACAGGAAATCAAAAAGAAATGTTCAACAGACTGTTTTAAAATAAATGAACCAAAGAATCCTCTCTCCAGATCTCCAGATCTCCAGACCAGCTATAGTCAGGAGGCTCGTGTTAGGTGAGAAAGAGTAAGATCAAGGAGGCTGCAGCATAGAGATGAAAGGTTTTAAAACCAACCTAAAGAATGGAATTGATTTTTAAATAACAAGTATCTGATGAAGCAGAGAAAATAGTTTTAGCACTTATTTCATACTTTCCCTTTTGTTTCCCTTTTTGCACTATAAATTGTCTGTAGTTTTCTCACTGGCACTCATGAACTGTGCTTCCTTACAAACAGTTTAATGAACAGTTCCCATCTATTGTTAGTTGCACACAGTGTCTGATAGAATTGTTGCAGAACATGCAGAAGAATATTCAGTCCTTTCCATACACACAGGACTAAGATTAAATCAAAGAGGAGTCTTTATTATAGCTAAGGAATTAAGTGTTACGTGCTGACCCAAGAGTACTATGTATCCCGCCATTTCTCAGGCTTAAATCTCGTCTTGCATACTATGACTTAATAACTGTACATTAAATATCTTAGTATTATTTCTGTTTTCAACCACTACTCTGAACTGAGCATCAGATTTAATCACCTATAAATTTTCAATTCTGAGCCACCTGAAACTTCTAGATTATTTGCATGCTTTCTCCCAGTTAAGAACACGAGGGCATTAGCTGATGGTGATTGTTTCTGCTTACATTTCTATCACATGGAAATTTGCAGCAATAAATATAAATAATCAGTCTTCAATCTCTTCCCTCTAGTAGATGAATCCATACCATTCTTAATAAAGTCCTGTACCTGTTAGTTTTTCCATTTCATCCAGAAGTTTTTCTAAATCCTTTTTCAGGTCTTCTGCCATCTTACCATGTTATCATAGTTTCCTTCCTGAACTTCTGATTCGGCTGTCTACAAGGAAACCAGGAATTTAATGCTTTATTTTACTTTGAAAGGAATTGATTTGCACAGTTGAAAGTAACATTGCAATAAATTAAAAATAAAACCCTATATGTATATAAATATTCAATTTACACATGAATTCATTAAGGATCTGCCCTTGGAGTTACTGGTTATCATCTGTATCCTTCATTCTACTTTCAATCCATTTTTAAGTGAATTTAACCAGAAAGAATTACACCAAAATATGCTGTGTTTATGCCAGATAAAGATTTTTGGTACGAATAATAAAAAAGATCACTGTGTTAAATGCTTCATCAGAAAATTTTATCTATTACCCTGTTCCAGTTGTCTTCAGGCTTCTCTCCCAAACACTCTGGCACAGGGCAATTCCTGATTTCAGAGTGAGTTAGGTGTAAAATCCCATTTGCATCCAGTATTTCCCACTTGCATGCTCCAGCTGGGTAACGACATACACCAAGTGCTGTCACCACATAAGCATCCTGGCAGTGCTCAAGGCCAGGCTGGACAGGGCCTTGGGCAACATGGTCTGGTGTGAGGTGTCCCGGCCCACGGCAGGGGGTTGGAACTGGATGATCTTAAGGTCCTTTCCAACCCAAACCGTTCTATGATTCTATAATATGAATTGAAAACATGACACACAGGCTTGACTTTGATTTCCTTTCCTGAAAACCACTGGTGGCTGGGATGAAGCTGTGAGGGAGCCGGAGTAGTGTCACCGTAGTCACTACACACCTCACACAGCAGGCATGGATTTATCAGATTTCTTCTTTTACATAGGATTTATCAAACTCGGATTATTGAGTATCCAGTCTCTGGGGATTTTATTGACGGTAAGAACGGCAGAAACGCGAGTTTGTAACAGGGCCACAGCGTTTTAAAGCAATGCCAAGTCTTACCAACGCGCTGGGCGTTCAAGGGTCTCCTCACAAAACCAGTTCCACGGGGTAACCGGGTGACGGCAAACCCTTCACCCCAGAGACCTTCAGGAGCTCCAGGCCGTTTGCTGTACCACGGAACGGACACGCCGTAGCCTCCCACCGGGAATGCCGTGTGGACGGACGGACGGCCCGGGCCCGGAGCGCGCCCGAGAAGCCGGCCCTCCG